TTAAATTGGAAAGGACAGAAACCTGAATTTGACCTCCTGTTAACCCTGTCTAGAATCTTTGATTGGAATCAGAGAAGTTGGTCCCGTTTCTAAAACTCGTTAGAACAAATAAGTAATGATGAAAACAAATTAAGTTTCTTGTTAAAGTTGGAATGCAGTTATGATGATATTTTGTGAACAGTACAGAGCTACATGTGTACTGTTTGAGCTGCTTTTAGTATTGCTAAATGTGTTGGTGGATAAGGTATGAGCAGCTTTTGTTTTTATGTCCTGATTTACATTTTCTACGATCACTATGCTGAGTCCTTGTGTCCTGGTAGTTATAGGTATCTCCCATAATATATTTTTAATAATAATAATAATCTATTGTTTTAAAACTACTAATAATGATGAGTAGTAGTTACAGCTGTAAGTCTGAGAATTGTACGGCATGTATTTTGTGATAATGTGTATTGAGAACAAGCAACCACCATGCTTAGTCCAACAAGTGCTGCATCTGGAATTCTGGATGGAATTCTGGTTAAAACCTGCGTAGTTGTTTCCTTCTTTAATATCTTCACACTACATTGTTCCATCTTCATTGAAATTCCTATGTTTGTTTGCTGCAGGTTCAGGTTGGTGGTTCCCCTGTTTACAGAGTGGACAGAAAGCTGGGTAAGGGTGGTTTCGGACAAGTCTATGTTGGTCGACGTGTATTAAATACAAACGAGAGAACTGGCCCAGGAGCTTTAGAGGTGAAGAACGTCGTTCTTGTAATATTTTCTGATTGTTGAGTGTTATTCTATCTTTACCTTTTACCTTGCTTTTCTGCTTCTCCCTTATATACACATTTTTCTACCTCTGTATCTTAGGTGGCATTGAAATTTGAGCATAAAAATAGTAAAGGGTGTAGCTATGGACCACCAGCTGAGTGGCAAATATACAGGTGAGAATGCCTCAGCCACACAGGTTTTGGTACTGTTTTTTAATTTTTAATAGTATTTCTGAATCCATCATTTACTTTGTGTTTCTTTTACAGCACTCTTGGAGGCAGCCATGGCGTGCCGCGAGTACATTTCAAGGGCCAGCAAGGCGACTATTATGTCATGGTATGCAGTCTTCTTTTGGCTTACTTGTTTTGAACATTGATAGCCACATTATAATGTTTTGATAGTTGCATGATATACTCGGTTCAGGACTAGTTTTTTAATATTTCCTAAACCCGTCATGCTGTAGGTTATGGATATCTTGGGCCCAAGCTTGTGGGATGTTTGGAATAGTAACTCTCACACGTAAGTTTCAATTACAAAAGTGACTCTTAAATTAACAAATTTCTTTAATTATTATTTTATGGTTTTCATGATTTCCAGTTTGGTAATTTAGTCATCTTTGAAAATTTAGAATGTCTGTTGAAATGGTTGCTTGCATTGCCATTGAAGCAATATCAATATTGGAGAAGATGCATTCTCGAGGGTAAGAGTTTCTTTAGCAAGTTGTCATTTTTGTTCTTCCTCTCTCTCTGGTGGTTTGGATTGGTCTGTAACATTACTATATCCATGAAACAACTAAGAACTTTGTTATGGTTATGCAATGTATTCCTTTAGATGATGTTTATATGTGGGAAGTATTGATGTGAAATAGTAAGCCTATGATTCTCTTATCTAGTATCTTAATATCACATTTAGGTTCTTTGACCATCCAAATCCACTTGGAATGGACAATTTGTTTTCTCTACATACAATTTCATTTTTTTAGAAAAATTAAGAGTTAGGACATTAGGAAGGTAGTTGCATGTAAAGTTTGTCTGGACAAAAAGATCAATGGAGTGTTTGGAAATTTCACAATGCACAACTTACTATTTGATAACTAAAACTTTTGATGTAGAAATTTTTGAGGGGTAGTTGAAGTAGTTTTGTGAGACAGTCACCGGATTGGTGGTTTAACTCTCCTACCATGTTGTTTTCAGGTATGTGCATGGGGATGTAAAGCCTGAGAATTTTCTGCTTGGTCCTCCTGGGACTCCTGATGAGAAAAAGTTGTATCTAGTTGACCTTGGACTAGGTACTTTTTGACTGCTAATTAGTATGGTAGTCGTCAATGAGTCGTCATCATCATAATATAACTTGTTTTGGTCTTATCAGCAACTAGATGGCGAGAAAGTACAAGTGGTCGGCATGTAGAGTATGACCAGAGGCCAGATGTTTTTAGGTACAAGCATTTTTTCCAATCTTCTTGTTTTGTTTCCCTTACTCATTTATATGCTTCTTTTTAAAAATAAAAAATAAAAAAAAACTTTCTGCTACTTAGTCCTTAAGTTTTCTGGTTTTACAGAGGAACAGTGCGTTACGCTAGCGTGCATGCGCATTTAGGTAGAACGGGTAGTAGGAGAGATGATCTCGAGTCTCTAGCTTACACCCTTGCATTCCTTCTACGTGGTCGTCTGCCTTGGCAAGGATATCAGGTTTGTTCTTTCTTTCGTAGCTTGACTTCAAATTTTTGTCATGCTTGCATTAATTTTTTTGCATTTCATTTTATTATAATATGTTGGTCTTTTCAGGGAGACAATAAGGGGTTTCTTGTTTGCAAGAAGAAGATGGCAACATCTCCAGAGACATTGTGTTCCTGCAATCCAAAGCCGTTTAGACAATTTGTGGAATATGTGGTGAACTTGAAGTTTGATGAAGAACCAAATTATGCCAAATATATATCACTCTTTGATGGCGTTGTTGGTCCAAATCCTGCTGTCAGGCCAATAAACACAGAGGGTGCACAGAAGGTATGCATAATCTTCTCTCGTTTTGTTGATTATGGCTAACCCTTGGGCAGTAGTTTATTTACATAAAAATTTTAAAGGTATGAGTAGTGCATCTAATATAAATCTCTCTTATTTGTGAAGCTTATTAATCTGGTCGGTCATAAAAGAGGAAGATTGAGTCTGGAGGAGGAAGACGATGAACAACCGAAGAAGAGGACTAGGATGGGTATGCCAGCAAATCAGTGGATTAGTGTTTATAATGCTCATAGACCAATGAAGCAAAGGTATTTCTATGACTGAAGCAGTCCTATTGCTTATTTAGTGATGGTTTTGGGACTTCTTCATGATAACATAACAGATTTTACCATCTGTATCTTTCTTTCTGTTTTGATAGTTATATTGCTGTCTTCATTGTTTTTGTGCCATACTGTTTAAAGCTTTTTTCTCACGTTTCTTTAGGTATCACTATAATGTGGCTGATACAAGGCTTGCTCAGCATATTGATAAAGGGACCGAGGATGGGTTATATATTAGCAGTGTGGCCTCTTATGAAAATTTGTGGGCCTTAATTATGGATGCAGGGACTAATTTTTCTTCCCAAGTTTACGAACTCTCACCATGTTCGCTTCACAAGGTACATACTTGTACTTTCAATCGACCAGAATTGATCGTCTTCTCTGGCATAATGACTTACTTTTGCTAGAAGTGGTTCTTCCACTTTTTCAAATTTTTGAATGCTGGCAGTTACTGTTTGTAGGTAGCATTTGGTTTTATATTTCAAAATGTATATTTGTTTAATCTCATGATGAATTTTTCCGGATGCATTTAAAGGAATGGATAATGGAGCAGTGGGATAAGAACTATTACATCAGTGCGATAGCTGGAGCTACCAATGGGAGTTCATTAGTAGTAATGTCCAAGGGTTAGTCTAAATAGTCTAGTTCATTTGGGGTTCTATTTTATGAACATTTTAATCTAAAAACTGGCTGCTTTCTTTTATTGCTGATTTCACTTGTTTGGGTCCAGGTACAACGTTTACGCAGCAGTCATACAAAGTTAGCGATACATTTCCATATAAGTGGATTAACAAAAAGTGGAGGGAGGGTTTCCATGTTACTGCAATGGCCACTTCTGGAAGTAGATGGGCAGTTGTTATGTCTCGTGGTGCAAATTATACAGACCAGGTAATCTTGGATCTAAGAACACATTTCTCTGACTATTTGGAGAAGCCTAAAGGGCAAGTGAACGCGGCAGCATTGACTTTTTTTCCTCTCTGGCCAACGTGTCCTGTTTGTATGGAACTAATTATTTAACGGCAGACAATATTTTGTTTTTCAGGTTGTTGAGCTAGATTTTCTTTATCCAAGCGAAGGTATTCATAGGCGGTGGGACAGTGGATATCGCATAACAGCAACTGCAGCAACGTGTGATCAGGCTGCTTTTGTCCTTAGTATCCCAAAGAGGAAGCTTCAAGACGAAACACAGGAGACGCTTCGTACTTCTGTATTTCCCAGTACGCACGTCAAGGTAACATACAATTTCATCTAGTATTGTCAGGGTTCTGTCTCGTTCCCTTATCGATGAGATTTCAATACATGGGATTAACTCGTATCCGAATATTACAGGAGAAGTGGGCGAAGAACCTTTATCTTGCATCCATTTGTTACGGGCGAACAGTTTCATAAGCCGCCCGACTATTTGGGATCTGCGGACACCGTTGCAAAATTGTTTCCGGTTGGGGCTGTGCCTGATCCCGATTCTTCCAAAGAGAAAAGATTGATGAAGGAAACGAAGCAGTGCCATTTCCATCCCCGACTGAAAGGGGAGGAGTCTCGACGGCCTATGCCGGGAAATTTTTGATGACATGAAGGCCTAATTAATTGTAATTATAGAAACTTTTAGACGAAACCTATAGTTGGTCAGTCTGTGTGGGAACAGCGTCTTGTTGATGTGAATGGTAAATTAAAAGAGCGTTTTCTTGCAAACGAAGTAACAAAATATTGTCTTATTTTTTGCTACTCTTGAAGCATTGTCAAGTCAGGAATATTCAAAGTTGCTTAAGCAGTAAGCACAATCTCAACGAACAATCTGGCTTCCACTGCCAACCATCACATCACCTAACCACAAAGTTTTGAATATCTCGATTCTAGTGTCCACCTTTTTTTTTTTTCTTTTCGTGTCTGTTTTTCTCTGTGCATTCGTTTATTTCTACTCGTTAGATTAAATAAATCAAATGAGAATTAAAAGAAATAAACAAAGGTGTGTATGAGGAAAAAATGCTCGCGCTGAAATCATTTTGCCTATGAAAAATGAACATTACTTGAGGAGTCATTCTTCCATAACCGTCAAAAACCAATCACCGTCTAAGTTGACTCGTTAAAAGCACATTCACACATCGATCTGTAATTTGTCTGGCGCCACATTTCAATAAAGAAAGGAGACTTTCATGTCCCTATTTCTAAAGAGCTCCGGTTGGGTTTTAGTATTTGTTGAGGTGCTTTGTGCAGGCCTGATACATAAACTCCCCAGATCAACATGTTCCTGATATTATTAGCACATGGATCCAATCAGGCACCGTTAGAGCGATAAATTGAACTTGAATACAAACATATCTGCAGATAGATCCTTGGAAATTTACCTCGGAGCTATCATGGTCAAAGCGAACAACGAAGGTACACTTGCAGGCACCGTTCATGTCATGTAGCCCCCGGTGGATGGCCACAACTTCGGCATCACAGTATACAGCTTGATGTTCTCTTTCCTGTAAATAAGGTATTAAGGCCAAACGAAAAGAGAATACTAATATCTTGGGAAAGGTATGCATTATCGAAAGTATGCCTTCTACAATATTTTGGACTCCCATGCATCATTGTAAGGCAGATTATGGGACGAATTTAAAAGAAAGAGTAAAGGATTACCTGGAAGCATAGCACTAGGTCCCCAACCTTCACCTTCGGACACTCAGAAGCTTCCAAAGGAATAGATCGCTCACGCACTGCACCTCTCACATCCACCCACTCATCTTCCTCCCTACCAAATCCGGAAAATCGCACTTAACTTCCTGTGACATATAACAGGAATACATATTAAAATCTCTCTTCAAGCAGAGACAATATTAGCTAGTAAGTCTTTAAAAAATAAATGCTTAACCAAAAATGGAACTGTGAATGTTGCAAATAAAACAAAGAGATCAAGACATTATGATAATAGACAAGCTATTGCATTATTCTCGTAATACTCTAATTACTAATTAGAAAAATAGACCTAAACTAAGAATTGCATTTTTACCCAAATGAAGCATAATGATTATACTAAAAAACGATAAGGATGAATCTTACAAGGTCTCCTGAACTGACTACTCTGTATGAGAGGAATGTAGCAACATCGTACCTGGAACGCCAAAAATAGTCAGGTATAGTTGTGCTTCAATTTGAATTGAAAGAAATAATAAACCATGGCTTGATTTGAAGAAATAATAAACTATGTACAAATTTTTACATTGGTGTTATATCCTAGCCTTTATTAGTTAATCCCCAAAACATCTCGAGTAAATTTATAGTACCAAAAATCCGGTATATCACAGAATAAAGGTGATTTCATACCTTAATCTAAGAAAGTAAACTATGCAAAATCCAACAATTATAATTACTTTGGCTGATTTCCTAACAAGTAAGCAAGCTCATTTTTTTCTTCTAGAGCATAATCACGTGAGATAACTGTCTTCTGAACCTAAGTTTGACTGCACTGCATGAAGAACTATACTCACACTTTGTGGATCTGCCCCGTAGTTTATATTTTACTTTTTCACACAGAAATTCTTCAAACATGTACATCACTTAGGGTAAGAAATCCCACAGAATAGGAATTGTACTCATGACACGTAACAAATTAACAACGAACAGGTGTTTCAAATGTAACGTATAAAATCAAGTATAGCTGACTTGGAACTATCCTTGGACAGATGAATTCTTACCATGCATCATCTTTCGATGATTTCGCTTCAAATGCCAACTCTGAAAGTTCTGTGACCCATTTACCTGAGTTAAAGTTATCAAGCAAATTTTTCAGAAAACGTAATAAGGAATCAGAGATAGATGGAAGATTCCCCATTTAACCGCTCTGCGTGATTAAATTTTTTAAGATACATGTTAAGAGATAACGTCCCAATATCACAACTGAAAAATTCAATAGATATACCGACCAAAAGAAGACAAAAGCAAGATTTTAAACATATGTTGTAGAAGACCCTGCCCATGAAAATATCTTAGACGGTTTCCATGTATAGATGATAACAGAAGTAATGACCTCAAAATCCTGGAAAGAGGGGCATAATATTTGCCACTACACTATATACGCAAAAAGATAATAAGACATGGAAAATTAAAGCAAGCAAAACTTTTACACAAAAAGAAAGAAACATCACAAAACAAAGGTAAAATAATATGTCGCATGTAACTAATTAATGTACATAGCAGATGAAAAGTTGGCCACAGAAATATCTCACAATAGAATCCAGCCAATCGCTATGCAGAGAAAGTGCAACACCTATCACTAGTAATTTGGGTAATAAAATAGCATCTATAGCACTTCAGAAACCGTATAATTATGGCTTCTAAAGACCCCTCGATTAAGTAACGTTACATACACAAGGCTGCAAAGTTGTTAAAGAATTAAGCGCATTGATAATACTGTAGCTTCGGAGATTGATCAATTAGGTCTTGGACTCCGACATTGACAAAACTCTTACCCCACCTGCCCTTGTCCGCCAAGATAGCACTGACATGCTATAATGGCTTTTGAAGGGCTCCAAGTTGATGCATTCTGATTTGCATCATTAAATTTTATTTATGTTATCTGATGCTAGCATAGACATAATTCTGACTACATGGTAAAATTAAAATTTGCATATAATATGGAAAAACCATTGAATAAAACAGATTATAGATCATCTTTTCTACAGCTTCATCCATACTGACAAAAAGGATAACCTTTTGGCTTCTGAGAAACTTGAGGTGCATTTCTTGCAACATTTGAATCTGAAAAATCAACCAATAACTCGACAGTACTAGGCAAGGAAGTGCTTTTGGCTTGCAGCTCTTTTTGTTTGTCCTGGAACCAACTTTGCACCTAGAACATAATAAGAACATGATAGGATTACAACATGCTGCAGTATAAACAATAAGATCAAAGCGAGGAAAAAGGAAAAATAAATGACTAACCTGTTCCCATGTTACATCAGGTTTTCCAGCACGGATTGGAGCGCAACTGAAAAGACAGAGCAAGGCGAAAAACTTAATAAAAGACTTGTACTTGGAAAACCCCTGTTCTGTGTAAGTATGAATATTTAACTCCAGGAAACCATTCTTTTTATTTCTTTTTTGACAAAAAATAAAACAAATGTGTCTGCCCAATTCAGGCTATAACCTATGCTATTTAACATTACAGAAATCACCTGAAACTTGTTGCAAGGTCTTGGAAAAACTCCTGAGTAAGTGATTGCTTTGCGACATGCTTAACTAAATTTTCCATTTCCATAATCTGCCAGAAGGCAAAATACAATCAATATATGATACAGAAACTATCCTTTGAACAACTGAATACAAAAGTTACAAGTAGGATCCTCTTTGGGTCCTAAAACCATAAGAGTCATAACTAAACTTAGGAATAAATGTAGTAGGAAATTTACTAAACCGAATACAAGATCGTTTGTAATAATGTCCTAGAGTGGTGAATCCGTCTGCGACCATATTTGCTTCTCGTTTGATAGGACATATTTGAAACATGGAGAAATAATTTGACTCACCAAGTACCAAATCTCATCCAATACAGAATTTGAAAAGAAAAAAAGAACAAAAATCCAATACACGGTGAACTCCCTACACTTCGTAAGTTACATTTTCTTTCATCCAAACGACTACATTTGTGTATATATCTTATTATATATGTAAAGGTAACATGGCAGATACAGAGAGAAAGAGAGAAGCCTCAAACTTTACCATCAAATCCAGTAAAAACGAAAGACCCCAAAGCTTGTTTTGTGAAACAAAACTAAATTTACCATAAAAAGGAAAAGTCCAACAGCAAGCATCGCAATACATAAAACAAAAAGTTATAGAAAACCCAATTTGGAAAAATCAAATTACAGAAAACCCAACAAGTAGCAGCTGAATTTAAAGCCAAAGAGTGGAATTTTTTGCAGAATCAGAGAAACCCATATAGCTGAAAGTACCCAATTGCAGATATCACAGTAAGGGGGTGAGAGATTTTTTACCTCAGAGTGAGTGAAAACAGAGAGAGAGTTCATTGCCTCTCTTTTTCTTGTACGAAAATTGTCCATCTCTGTCGAACTGAGATTCTAATCTGGTGCAGAATGAGAGTGAGAGTGGTGTCACTCACTCACTCACCTTTTCCCCATCGGGTTTTACGTCTCTACTCCCAACTCGCAAGGGGAAGCGGGGAGGCATTGCATCGATGCGAGTTCAAATCTGCAGTGCCCAAATACCCAATGCCCAGCTTGTTACAAGCATGTTATTGTAACACCTGTCCTCCACATAACTACTTAAACAGAATTAAGTGAAGAACAAATTTTTTATTTAAACTTTTAGAAACTGTATATTCAATGATAATGATTTGAGATATTACAATCTATAAGTTATACACAAACTATATGATATCTTCCTAGTAGTTACAATGAAACGGAAAACACATTATATCCTAATAAAGGTTAATAACAACATAACAGCTAAAACAATAATGTATTGTCATTGAAAACCCTTAACTATGGTAACTCCCATAAGCCCCTAACACTCCCCCACAAACTTGACTCCGGAGAGGTGACAAGTTTCGAAAAAAGACGTGAAAACCGGTCAACTAATAATCCTTTGGTGAAGACATCGGCAAGCTGAAACGTGGATGGAATAAATTGACCTTATGACTGCCAAAAGCAACTCGTTCACGGACAAAATGATAATCAATCCCAATGTGTTTTGTGCGAGCATGAAACACGAGATTAGCACCTAAGTATGTGATAGACAAGTTGTCACAGTTGAGTAACACGAAACGAGTGAGCGAACAATGAAGTTCAGTTAAAAGATTTTGAATCCATATAGTATCAGCGCATGCATAGGCAAGGGCTTGATATTCGGCTTTTGCATTGAAACGAGAAACTGTTGGCTATTTCTTAGCACTCCATGAGATGAGATTAGGTCCCAAAAATATGCAGTAGTCGGATGTGGACCGCCGTGTATCAGGACATCCTGCCCAATCGGCATTGGAATAGGCAATTAAAAAGGAACAATCAGGAGACCTACGAATCGGAAAACTAAAACCAAGAATGCCTTTGAGGTAACATAATATCCACTTAACATATTCAAAATGAACATCACTGGGAGATCCCATAAACTGAGCTACATGTTGAACCACATATGAGATATCGGGACGGGTCATGGTAAAGTATTGGAGGGCACCAACAATGTGTCGATAAAGTGTAGGATCGGCAAGTTTTGTACCATAAGAAAGTGTACCTTTCAAAGCCATGGGTGTAGAAACGAGTTTACAGTCTAAGAGATTGATGCGTTTAAGGAGATCAACTGTATATTTGTTCTAAGTAAGATGGAGAGAATCTGTGTGATAATTAACCTCCACGCCAAGAAAATAATGCAAACGCCCCAAATCTTTGATGTTAAATTCTGCTCCCAGTGTGTGAATAGAGGTGTGAATATGAGAAGAACCACTGTCGGTGAGAATAATATCATCCACATACAATAATAAAATCAAAACACGAGAATTATCCTGATAAACAAACATGGAGGTGTCAGCCCGACTTTGACAGAGACAAACTGTACAAGGAAAGAACTAAAACGTTGAAACCATGCCTGTGAAGCCTGCTTGAGACCGTAGATGGCCTTATGAAGTTTGCACACATGGTGAGGACGATTAGGATCAACAAATCCTGAAGGTTGTCGCATGAAAACATCTGCAGAGAGAGAGCCATGCAAGAATGCATTTTTGACATCGAGCTGCCGAATGGACCATTAAAAAGAAACAGCTAGATAAAGAACAGTGTGAATCGTTGTAGGTTTGACGACAAGGCTAAAAGTATCAAAATAATCAATGCCAGACTATTGATGGAACACTTTGCAACGAGACGTGCCCTGTACCGTTCAAGTGTGCCATTAGATCACTGCTTAATTTTGAAAACCCATTTGCAACCAACCATATTGATGGAATTATGGGAAGGGACCAAGGACTAGGTACCCTGTTGAATAAGTGCATTACATTCTTTGAGCATGGCCTATTTCCATTCGGGAGATCGAGATGCTTGTGTGTAGCAAGGAGGTTCAACATTCATGTCCACTAAGGCAGCAAAAGCATAAGGAGCGGGATACCGAGTAGTGAAGTTAGCTTGGTATTTAGGATTGGCCTTAAAAATGCCAATCTTCGAACGAGTGACAATGAGACTGCAAGGTGGTGGAGGAACAACTAAAAGACCATGGTCTGGAAAGTATTATGCGGTATTAGATGGCGGTATGGAATTTGGGATGCAGAGAGTGGTTGTTCAGGTGGCACAATGTGATCAGGGACATGTGGGATAGACGGGACAGCTGCAGGCACTATCAGGTTAACTGTAAGTGCTATCAGGTATGCTGCAAATGGCTCGACAGGAGGACAACTAAATGCAGATGGCTTGGTAGAAAGGGGATAGTTGGATGATGCAGTGCAAGTGGCTAATTGAGTAAGTGGGTCTTGCTGCAATTGAATGGGTCAAGTGACATGTTACGGGACTTGTGGCTAAGTAGGTTGATTAGGCAAGAAGTCTACAGGAACAATGGCGAGCGGTGGAGAGGAAATTGATAGAGGGGCGGCAACATAATAAATTTGATCTTCATGAAAAATGACATGCCGTGAAATGTAAAGTCGTCCTGTAGGTGGATTTAAGCATCGATACCCACGATGTTTATCACTGCAACCAACAAAAACACACTGGAGAGAACGAGGTTGTAGTTTGTTAGACATATAATCTCCAAGATATGGATAACACAAGCACCCAAAAATTTAAAGCATTTTATAGTCTGGGGAATGACCAAATAAGGATTGGTTTGGTGAGATCCCATGAAGAACAAACGTACGAAGTCTATTAATTAAATGGACTACCATGCAAAAAGATTCAGCCCATAAGGTGTGAGGCATGTGAGCAGTATGTAAAAGAGTACGACCCATATCAGCAATATGACGATGTTTGTGCTCAACCGATTCATTTTGTTGGGGTGTATGAGGACAAGAAAAATGATGCACTGTTCCATTAGTAGCACAAAAATGCTTAAACTGCAAGTTGTCATATTCTTTACCCCCATTACTCTGGAATTGTTTAATAGACAAAGAGAATTAATTTTGAACATACATAACAAAAGTAGAAAAATGATCAAAGACTTCTAACTTCAGACGCATGGGAAAGATCCATGAATATCAAGTGGAATCATCAGTAAATAGGACATAATAGCGATAATCAGATACGGAAAAAAATAGGAGACATCCACACGTCCGAATGAATTAAATCAAATGGTGCAAGGGAACAGTGTTCATGAGGCGAAAATGAAAGTTTTATTGATTTAGATAAGGTACAATGGCTACAATTTGAATGCAATAAACAAGAAGTACAACCTAACAATGACTTATAAATAGTGAATCAAGCACTTTGTTGGAAGGATGACCAAGACGATGATGCCAAAGAGACGAAGACACGGCAAAGGAAGAAAAAGTTGTCTTGGGCCCAATCAGGAGTGTAGGAAAAATGGTTTAGGGTTTGTATGTCATGAATGTGATAACCTCAAGGAAAGAAAGTAATACTAACATGCATATCCTGTGTAAACTAAGCAATTGATAAAAGATTTTTATGAAGAGAAGGAACATGAAGAACATCAGAGAGACAAAAAACATAAGTCCCAAAAGAAAACAAAACATTACCAAACTGAGTGATGGGGAGGGTGTCACCATTCCCAATAACAAAATTATCACTTGGTGTAGATGAGGCACCGGGGGAAAACAACTTAGCATCATATGTCATGCGATTTGTAGCACCCTAGTCCTAATACCAGTTAGGATCGAAAGAAGAAGCAACATGCATGCCGGCAAAGGGACGAGATTAAGGACACTTGGCTTGAACATTTCTAAATTAGTGGCAATGCCAACATTGGACCGGCTGACGAAGTGGAGGAGGACCCAGAAGACCTTGAGCATTGAAGGTAGGTCTCTGTTAACGGTAGCAGTTCTGTGGAGGCCCATTAAAGGGACGGATGAGTGGCCTTGGGCCAGAAGGATCACGAGCACGGAAAAGGCACTGGCCACATAGTGGACGTGTTGCGATCGTGGTAGAATGTGAGTTTGTAGGTTTGAGTTGGGCTACAAAGGCTTGTTGCCCCTAAAAAACAAGCAATTTGGTACGGAGGTCAAAAAATAGTGGAAGTGGTGGAAAATTCAGAAGAGTCGTTGGAAGCATCTGGTAATCAGGGTCCCAGACCACGAAGTACATAAGTAACCAAGTCAGAATTGGACACAGGTTCTTGGATAGCAGTGAGTTCATCAACCAAACTTTTGGCCTGAGCAAGGTACTTAGAAATAGTTTTGGAGCCTTTGGTGAGAGAAAAGAGACAAAATTCAATTGGGTGACATTGGCTAGTGATTGCTATGAGAAATTTTGTTAGAGACAATCCTATATATCTTTCGAGGTGGAGAACCCAATGACTTAAGGAAGAACAGCTTCAGACAGTGTGGCACGAAGAATACTAATAAGGCTTTGATCGGTTTGGAACCAAGATGCGTATTCAGGATTGGGTGTAGATGGATGAGGAGTAGTAGTTTTGCCTCACTTATAGAAGAGGGCAAAGTAGAGGGAGGACATGGATAAGATCCATCAACAAAACGCCGAAGATTTTGGCATAGCAAGTACGGTTTGACTTGGCTTTCCCACAAAAGATAGTTGGTTTCAGAAAGTTTGACGGAGATAAAATGAGAGATATTGGGAATAGAGATAGGGGAAAAGGCCAAAGAGGATGCACTACCTGAAGCCATTGCAGAAAAAAAATTGAGGCTTTGATATCATGTTGAAACTGTATATTCAATGATAATGATTTGAGATATTATAACCTATATTTATACACAAACTATATGATATCTTTCTAGTGGTTACAATGAAACGAAAAACACATTATATCCTAATAAAGGCTAATAACAACATAATAGCTAAAACAATAATATTGTCATTGAAGACCCTTAACTATGGTAACTCCCGTAACCCTCTAACGAAACTCATATAATATCACTCTACACACAATTTACTCTTTATACACATCTTATTTTTACTTATACTATTAGTATCTCTTTAAACCTAAATTTACTACATAAACTACACTCGTAAACTCAAATTAATATGTAATTTACCTAAATAAAAATCCCAATCAGAGTATACGCCCCTTCCCCTTAGTGCAAGCACTTAGTAAGCAAGCTACCTTCCTCTAACAAGTAAGCAAGTAAACTACCTTTTCATAATAAGG